GGATAATGAGTGTATGGGAGTTCTTGAGTTATTTTGTGTGCATATCTTGTGTGTGAGTTTCTTGTTTGTTTGTTTGTTTGTATTGGAGTTTTATTATTGTGGTAAGCATAAAATGATCTGAGTTTGCGTCTAATGATCTTGAGTTGTGTATGTCGCATGTTGTAATATTTGGATTGGGTTGATTGTCCAGTAGAATTAGATCGATGGTGTGTGTATCATTTGTGTTTGGGTGCATCCATGTGATTGATTTGTTTTGTGGTTTTTGTATGAATGTGTTCATGACTTTTAATTTGGTTAACTGGCATAGGTTGATTAATCGGATGCCATTTGGTGAGGTGTCTTCTTCTAGTCTGATTGCATTGCCAATAATGTGGGGATACATAGTGTGTAATTCTTGGCTAAGTCTACAGTTGAAGTCACTCATCAGGACTATTGGTAGTCTGTTTTGTTTTATGCTCATGATTGTCTTTTTTAGTGAGATGTAGAAGTTGTCCTTTTGATTGTCATCTTCTGAAGATTCTGTCGAGGCATAACATCCAATAACGTTGAGGGACTGATTTGTTGATTTAAAGTGGACCATTAATGTTGCAATTCTACCATTTATTTCATTGAAGTGAGATGTTGTGATGTTTGTGTGGTTATTGATGATGAAGGCAACACCTGTGTTTTTGTAATTGTTTGTGTCTGGGTTACAGTTGAATAAGGTTGTGTTTTCATCCATTTCCAGTATTTTGCTTGGCATTCGGGTTTCAGTAATCACTGCTAGGTGGTAATGACGTTCGGTTATTTGGCTAGCAATCTGGTGTAATTTACTTTCCTGCGAGCAACCACGGACATTCCATAGGCCAAATTTAAGTTTTTGATAATTTTGGGCATTTTTTTTGTCTTTTCTTGAACCATAAGTAGAGATGCATTGTTTCATTGTAGTTTTCGTAATCATGGGGTGGGTATAGGTAGAGTGCGTGATTAGCCCGATCTCCCTGTGGTGCCCCTTCCAGCCAAACTAGTTGGTGAAGCCTAGTAGGCCCTTCTGGAGAAGAGGCTACATCGAAGCACGGCACAACTACCGGGGCGCAATAGTTGTTTTTGCATTGTTTTTTGCCTTTGGTTTTACTTCCTGTCCGGTGATTGCTGACCACCTATGTACTACATAGCAGTGATTTATTATACCTTTTTTAGTTGGTAAAGTTTTGTTGCAGCCTGGGTATGAACATTTATTTTGATCCTTCTTCCGTTGCAAATTTGGACGGGATTCAAACTTAGAGGCGTTCAGTCTTAATCCCTCAGATGGTAGCTTCGCACCATTGGCCTTTCGACCAGGCACATATACCAATTATCTGAACCTGCGGTTCCTCTCGTACTAAACAGGATTACCATAGCAACGGCCAGATTGTACTTCACTGATGTACTCATTAGTAGGGTAAAACTAACCTGTCTCACGACGGTCTAAACCCAGCTCACGTTCCCTATTAGTGGGTGAACAATCCAACGCTTGGTGAATTCTGCTTCACAATGATAGGAAGAGCCGACATCGAAGGATCAAAAAGCGACGTCGCTATGAACGCTTGGCCGCCACAAGCCAGTTATCCCTGTGGTGCCCCTTCCAGCCAAACTAGTTGGTGAAGCCTAGTAGGCCCTTCTGGAGAAGAGGCTACATCGAAGCACGGCACAACTACCGGGGCGCAATAGTTGTTTTTGCATTGTTTTTTGTCTTTGGTTTTACTTCCTGTCCGGTAATTGCTGACCACCTATGTACTACATAGCAGTGATTGATTATGCCTTTTTTAGTTGGTAAAGTTTTGTTGCAGCCTGGGTATGGACATTTATTTTGATCGTTTTTGGAGTCTATTTTATTAACTTTGTTTTTTGGTTCAGCTTTAGCTAGGTTACATTGTGGGTGGCATGATTGCATGTGTCTAATTAACCAACCCAACGTCTTATACGTCTTATTACAGTCAGATAGGGGACAGCTATATAGGGACTCACTGTTAGTTTTATTTTGGTGATCATTTCTAAGGTGTCTGTTCATTTCTTTAATTGTAGCAAACATTCTGTTACAGTTTGCATTTTGGCATACATGGTTCAGCTGACGTTTCCCTATTATTTTTGGAAAGTGCTCTTGATATGCGTTTATTTTAACCTTGTTGGGTTGGTTTATCCAGTTACTAGGAAGGCGCTCACCCATTTCTTTAATGTCTTGAAATAGTTGTCTTAGCCAGTTTTTAGTATGGGCCTTCCTATTGTTGCACTGATTTTCAAAGTTACTATACAAAGACCTCACCATTAGGTTATTTGGTCTTTTATGCGCTACATACCACAAGTTTAGTCTGTTTTGCATGATTTTACTGGCTAAGTTTGGTAAGTTTATTTTAAGTTTAAGTTGCTCAACAGTATATTGTTTTCTATCGTTTATATTTAGAATTATCCGTCTTACTGTATTTAACACCGCTTCTAGTCTAGACCAATCTTGCTTTCTTAGTACTATTGATTCTAGACCATATGTGAGAATGGGGATTATTAAGGAATCCACCATCTTGGCTTTGGTATCAAGGTTGAGTTCTTTAGATTTAAGTATTGGTTTAATTTTAATTATTGCATTTTTTGCTTTTTCTATATTATAGGTGACAGCACTATCCGGAGTACCTTTGTTATTTATGGTAGATCCAAGATAGTGGAAGGATTCTACTTCTTCGATATCCTTGTTGTTTATTTTGACATTTGATGTGATAGCTTTTTTATTTATTAACATATATTTAGTCTTGGAGATTGATATCTCCATACCAATACTGGTTAAGTATTGTTGTAGGTGGTTTAAGGCTTTGGTAGCCTCCTCCGTTGTGTTAGTGATTAAGCATAAATCGTCTGCATATTCTAAATGTTTAATTGTCGAAATCTTGTTATATTGGTCTTTAAGAGTCACTCCTTTTAGGGTTTTGTCTATCGTTTGTTCTAATATTTTTTGAAAGACTAAGTTAAAGATAGCCGGACCTTTTTTACTACTCTGTCTCACTCCCCTTTTCATCGTGAAGTTTAGTTCTGAATTTTTTAGATAACCCTTGGGGTCATCTAATAGTTTGGTTATACAGGAGTTTATATTTTTTGAAGGGCATAGTTTATTTAGAGTATTTAGGATTATTTGTTTGGGTATCGTATCAAACGCTTTAGTTAAGTCCACAAAGGTGAGGACTATAGTACTATTTGTGTCTATAGAGGATTGAATTATATGTCTTAAGGTCGTTATTGCTTGGACTGTGGACAGATTTTTCCTAAAACCAAATTGGGTTATTGGGAGATATTTATCTGTTAGTTGGACAAGTCTATTGCAGACTATGCCTGCAAATAGCTTTCCTATCGTATCTAGTAAGAAGATACTTCTATAGTTGTTTGGGTCGGATCTTAAACCTTTATTTTTATATATACTTATTACATCTGCATCTATCCAGTGGTCTGGCATAGTGCATGGATTTTTCCATATGTGATTCATGATTTTCAGTAGTATGTTATTTAGTTTATCACCACCTTGCTTTATCATTTCGCTAGTTATGCCATTACTGCCAGGCGTAGTTTGATTTTTCATTTTTTTCAAACTTTGATTCATTTCATTTATAGTAAGTTCAGAGTCGTTGGTGGTTTTTACCGGCAATTGGATGTTATCTTGGTTTAGTTTAGCATTGAATAGGTTTTGGTAGTGATATTGAAGATCACTATCTTTAATTTGATTAGCTCTTTTAGCTTTGTATGAGTGGTTTCGTATAGTAGCCAGTATATCATCTACCATTTTGTATGCTAAGTGCAGGTCATGCTTTTTAAAGTATGTGTTCATCTCATTCATTTTATCTTTGATATACTGGTCTTTAGCTAGTTTAATCTTATTATTCACTATTTTACTAGCTTGCATATAGAGGCTTTTATTAGCAGCTGTAGGGTTATTTAGCCACTTTAGTCTTAGTTGTCTTCTATGTTTAATTTCGTCTTTTAATAGATTGCTTATGTTATACTGCCATCTCTTGGTGGCCGACTTATATGGGATAGCAGCTTTGTTAGCTGCTTGAGTTATGGCTCTTTCTACTTGGTTTAGTTGGCATTTATTTTGGAGTAAAGTGTCTAGTATCTTTGGGTAGTCTGGAGTCAAGGCGTGGATCGCCTTACTCTGTTTTCTTTTGGGTTTACTTTTATTATTAGAAGTCTTATTATTATTTAGATACTTTAGTTTCAGTATGGTTGTGATCATATAATGATCTGTGTTTGCTTCCATAGAACGGCTGTTATGAATATCACAGACCAATAGTTTTGAATTATTTTCTGTTATCACTAGATCTATGACATGTCCCACTTGGGTCTTCAGGTGTACCCAGGTATGGGTCCTGTGTTCTGGTTTAGTGATGAACGAGTTCATTACTCGCAGGTTTAAAGTTTTACATAAGTTTATTAGTTTCATGCCATTTTCTGATGTTTCAGTTTCAAGTTTAATAGCTTTCCCTATAATGTTAGGGTAGTAAGTATGAAGGTCCTGGCTTAGCCTGCAATTATAGTCTCCCAGGATGAGTATAGGAAGTTTATTTAGTTTAAGCTTTTTAATTGTGTCTTTTAGCTTGAGATAGAATTTTTCTTTTTCTTCGGCTCTGGGGGCCGAGTCAGACAGGCCGAGATCAGATACGTGTCGGTCCAGTTGGGGGCTGGTTTCTTTGCTGCTTTGTGTGCTTCGGTGCGCGTTGTGGTGAGGTTACTGGACTCTGACCCGGGTCGATCGTGGGCGGTTTCAGCTGTTAGTGTCGTGCAGCTAGCAACGCGCGAGGACTTGTTCCACGTTGCGTCAAGCGGCTGTACTTCCATGGTCTGGCGCGCGACGGCTAACTCAGAACTGGCACGGACCAGGGGAATCCGACTGTCTAATTAAAACAAAGCATTGCGATGTCCACTGATTGGTTTTGACGCAATGTGATTTCTGCCCAGTGCTCTGAATGTCAAAGTGAAGAAATTCAACCAAGCGCGGGTAAACGGCGGGAGTAACTATGACTCTCTTCCGGTGAACAGCACGCTGCTTTCCTCGGTGTTCTGAGTTTTTGGTCGTATTTTCGTTCCTTCTACGTAGTTTCCAGATAACTTCAGTCATTTCAATACTACTCAAGACGGTGATACTGGACGTATAGGTTTTTCTTGATAACTGGCGACATCTGTCCCCCCAGCCAAAACACCAGGCTGGGGGGATTCATATTTTTCAACAAATGTTACATCGTCGTGGTTCCGAGGAACAGCACGCTGCTCTCCACGGTCTTCTGGATTTTTGGTCGTTTCTTCATTCCTTCGACGTCGTTTCTGGATCTCCATGCTACATTTGGTTCTCCTTCAGCTGACGTTTCTGGACGTACATCGCTCCTCGCATCAACTTTCAAGCCTGAATCGAGAAGTGGAATAAACCGAATTTCCTTGTGCTCCACAAAGAGTCCTAACTTTGCGACTACAAAACTATTGAATAATTACTACTAATCCTCTAGCAAACCGGTTGCTCAGTAAGTCCAAAAACAAACGCTTTATTACTATTTATCCGAATATTAATACCATGTATATGCCTATTCACCTTACGCTATTATGTCCTTTTATATTATCCATATTACTATGATCAGTTCTACTACTATTTGTAGCAATACGTCCATTTTCTATGTCTATACATTATGAATATCCGCTGAACACGGAAAGCTATCATATTTTTAAGTCTGCGTATTTTGCCTATTTCGTCCACTTATTTCTTCATCTCACGTTTTAAATTATTTTTGAACTACTGCAGTCTGAATCCATCATCCACCTCTCATATAATCTATCGTCTTTTCGCCATCTTTTATTGTACTATTGGCCGCTGCATTTACTTCCACTGTGTTTCTTAACCAGTTTCTATGCATGCTACAACGCTATATTAGACTGTTGGAGACGGCTTTTCACCATATTATGACAGTGTGTGTGTCTTGACTATTTCGTTTTGAATCCATCATCCACCTCTCATATAATCTATCATCTTTTCGCCATCTTTTATTGTACTATTGGCCGCTGCATTTACTTCCACTGTGTTTCTTAACCAGTTTCTATGCATGCTACAACGCTATATTAGACTGTTGGAGACGACTTTTCACCATATTATGACAGTGTGTGTGTCTTGACTATTTCGTTTTGAATCCATCATCCACCTCTCATATAATCTATCATCTTTTCGCCATCTTTTATTGTACTATTGGCCGCTGCATTTACTTCCACTGTGTTTCTTAACCAGTTTCTATGCATGCTACAACGCTATATTAGACTGTTGGAGACGACTTTTCACCAAATTATGACAGTGTGTGTGTCTTGACTATTTCGTTTTGAATCCATCATCCACTTCTCATATAATCTATCGTCTTTTCGCCATCTTTTATTGTACTATTGGCCGCTGCATTTACTTCCACTGTGTTTCTTAACCAGTTTCTATGCATGCTACAACGCTATATTAGACTGTTGGAGACGACTTTTCACCAAATTATGACAGTGTGTGTGTCTTGACTATTTCGTTTTGAATCCATCATCCACCTCTCATATAATCTATCGTCTTTTCGCCATCTTTTATTGTACTATTGGCCGCTGCATTTACTTCCACTGTGTTTCTTAACCAGTTTCTATGCATGCTACAACGCTATATTAGACTGTTGGAGACGACTTTTCACCATATTTTTGAAAGTATGTGTGTTTGCCTATTTCGTTTTGAATCCATCATCCACCTCTCATATAATCTATCATCTTTTCGCCATCTTTTATTGTACTATTGGCCGCTGCATTTACTTCCACTGTGTTTCTTAACCAGTTTCTATGCATGCTACAACGCTATATTAGACTGTTGGAGACGACTTTTCACCATATTATGACAGTGTGTGTGTTTTGACTGTTTCGTTTTGAATCCATCATCCACCTCTCATATAATCTATCGTCTTTTCGCCATCTTTTATTGTACTATTGGCCGCTGCATTTACTTCCACTGTGTTTCTTAACCAGTTTCTATGCATGCTACAACGCTATATTAGACTGTTGGAGACGACTTTTCACCATATTATGACAGTGTGTGTGTCTTGACTATTTCGTTTTGAATCCATCATCCACCTCTCATATAATCTATCGTCTTTTCGCCATCTTTTATTGTACTATTGGCCGCTGCATTTACTTCCACTGTGTTTCTTAACCAGTTTCTATGCATGCTACAACGCTATATTAGACTGTTGGAGACGACTTTTCACCATATTATGACAGTGTGTGTGTCTTGACTATTTCGTTTTGAATCCATCATCCACCTCTCATATAATCTATCGTCTTTTCGCCATCTTTTATTGTACTATTGGCCGCTGCATTTACTTCCACTGTGTTTCTTAACCAGTTTCTATGCATGCTACAACGCTATATTAGACTGTTGGAGACGGCTTTTCACCATATTATGACAGTGTGTGTGTCTTGACTATTTCGTTTTGAATCCATCATCCACCTCTCATATAATCTATCGTCTTTTCGCCATCTTTTATTGTACTACTCCGCTGTTGAGGTTTTTCTGTATCACACTCCATTCTCTATTTTTTTTTTCATGTTTACTGTTATCTTCGTCTTTATTGGTTCCATTGTCATCATCGTATTCTTTCGACATTATAAATATTTCTTCATCTACTCTGTGTCTGATACATTCGGATCTAGATAATTAATCATGAAGAGGACCTATGAACGGTTCCGCGACGCGAAGCTCACCACCAATTTCGTCCTCTTGTGCTATTAAATATGCCCAAATCGTTTCAATTTTGGAGAAGCACTCTACTATCTGGGTTTGTCTGTATCACACTCCATTCTCTATTTTGCTGTTTACTGTTATCTTCGTCTTTATTGGTCCCATTGTCATCATCATATTCTTTTGACATTATAAATATTTCTTCATCTACTCTGTGTCTGATACATTCGGATCTAGATAATTAATCATGAAGAGGACCTATGAACGGTTCCGTGATGCGAAGCTCACCACCAATTTCGTCCTCTTGTGCTATTAAATATGCCCAAATCGTTTCAATTTTGGAGAAGCACTCTACTATCTAGGTTTGTCTGTATCACACTCTATTCTCTATTTTCCTGTTTCTCTGTCATCCTTTTATTGGTTTTACTTTCCTCACTTTATTTTATTGTCATTGTAACCCTTCCTCCATTTACTTCTTTTATGATATCCTTAACACCTGTATACTTAGTCACGGAGAGGGCCTATGAACGGTCCGTGACGCGAGATTCACTATTAATTTCGTCCTCTTCTGCTAGTGGCCACCGAAATACGGAACCTCTGGTATGTCAGTTGTGTTAAAAACAATAAAATAACGAAGCCGGTCTCTACCAGCGCGGAAACTGACACATTCTGTTTTTGTTCCTTTCTCCTTATTCTCTACTGTTCCACCCTCTTTTTTTCTCTTCTCTTTTTTTTCTTTTCTTTTCTTCTCTCTTCTTTCTTTCGTTTTCGCTTTCTTGTCTATTGCTGTCTCATTAATTACCCTGCTCAACTAAGCCTGTAACGTTTTCTCCCACCTTTTCAACGTCCCTTGCTGATTCCTCACCCACGAGACACCTTCTCTCTAATTTGGTGGGTACCCATACACTGGTTACCTCATTTGCCTGTCCACAATAGATCCTGATTGTTACTAATGCCATTATTATTATCATTTTATTATTATTATTATTAGTGCCATTCTTTTTATTACTTTACCACTATTGTTATTGTTATTTTAGTATTTTATTATTATTACTATTACTATTATTATTATTATTATTATTATTATTATTATTATTATTATTATTATTATTATTATTATTATAGTTATTCCTACTTGCCCATCTGTGCATTTCGGAAACTTAACATGTTTTAATTCTATCATCTTGCAATTCTCCTTCTTCATCTTCTTCTATTTTTTTTTTCTCTCATACAACCTTGTAATTCAGTGCAACAGAACACCTTGTTTACACATCTTAAGTACTTAATTTTGTGCCAAACCCATTTGGGTCTGTACAATTTGATACTTAAAAATAAATGTTATTAGCCAAATGCCTCGTCATCTAATTCGTTGGATGGCGGGGCATCTGATTAGACTGAACGCCTTTAGGTCTGATTGGATGGTTTCTTGGGAGGGTTATGGTTGCGTGACGACTACCTCTTCGTGGTTCCCGCTAGTAACGTGGTGTCGAAAGATGCTGCGGCTAAAATGTCGTCGAGGCCTTCGGGTCTCCAGTTGGGCTGGTGTGCGCCGCGTACGATTAATAGCAGGGTAATATGCTACGGCCACATCTGACTTCTACCCATCTTGCATTGGTTCGCAAGGGCTAGTGTGGTGGGGAAGCCCAGTCCAGGTTGCCGAAATATCGACCTGGTCTCGTGGAGTCAAACCTGTTGCACATGATCTGGCTATCGTGGTAAACTGGGTATAACCTGGTGCCATGGCCCATTACCGTGGAAATGCTAGGTCTCTGAAACTTGGATTTGACGGTTAGCTTTGGTGCTGTCTTGACTGGAAAGGGTACTTGTGCCCTCAAGGTTAGGATGGTGCTGGCTCGTGTCCGTATTGGTAACCAACAGCGCTTTAGGGGACTGATTATCGATTCTAGAGCTAATACATGCCTTGAGTACCTGAACCGCAAGGGGACGGGCGCATTTATTAGATACTCTGGAGTGATGGTTGGTCTTCTGAGACGCCTAGGTTGCCGGGGTGGCTGTCTATGGATGGTCATCGGGACCCTCGGGTCTCCAGTTGGGCTGTTGTGCGCCGCGAACGTAATAACATAGCAATATGTTACGGCCACACATGACTTCTACCCATCTTGCATTGGTTCGTAAGGACTAGTGCGGTGGGGAGGCTCAGTCTTGATTGGCAGAAATGCTGACCTGGACACGTGAAGTCTTTCACAGGGTAACATGTACGTTCTAACGGAACCTCCCGTAGCTGGAACTGCTCCTCCGGCTTAATGTGGGCCTTTGAGAGACCCGGGCATCCGGTAAAGACGGCAAGGGCTAGAAAATTGGTGGTGCAAACTGCTGGTTCAGTGCATGGCTTCGGTGGCCAGGTAACCCAGATAGGGGTCCCGGGGGTGGCCGGTAAGATCCCGCCTGGCTGCCGCTGACGAATGTGATGTGGGTTGTGGATTGGATGGTTGGGATCGAGTTGATTTATAAGGTGCCCATCTGGGGGTGCCTCAACATGTGGTTACAGATTGGATGTCCGGTGACCGAACAGAACAAACCACTCGTATTGTGTGACCCTAACGGGAGAGGGTGAGTGCGTTCGCTATCGTATAAGCCCCGGTGTCGTGAAAGCGGTACTCATGCATGTGCGTTCGGGTAACTGGTTAACCCTCAAATAGCCAAATGCCTCGTCATCTAATTAGTCCCTATCTACTATCTAGCGAAACCACAGCCAAGGGAACGTTTTGCTGTTTATCCACAACAACAGTTGTGATTCTATTCTCCAAATATTCCTTGTGCTTTTGTCAACGTTATTCTATACCAACTGTAGCACCTACTTCTTCATCTCACGTTTTAATTTATTTTTGAACTACTGCTGTCTGAGTGCTTCTTACAACCCGAAGGCTCAGAAACTACCCACTTTCTGAACTGCTACTTTTTGCTGTTGTTCCGGGACGGTCTCGCGAGGCCGTAAAAAGACAACAGTTGTGATTCTATTCTCCAAATATTCCTTGTGCTTTTGTCAACATTATTCTATACCAACTGTACCGCCTACTTCTTCATCTCACGTTTTAATTCCGGTCTAATTTTCTCATCATTAGTCACGGAGAGGGCCTATATATATAATACCAA